CTGCCCCGTCAGGGAGTCCAGCAACGCCTCGCCTTCCTGAGGGGGAAAGGAGCTGCCCTGTGAGACCAGACAGCGCCCCTCCGACCGGTTTCACCGCGGGCAGAGGCCGAAGGGTCTCCCCTTCCGGCTGAACTACCACAGCACCTGCAACCCCGCAGGTACCGCGTGTCACAGCTGGTGAGGGCCTGACCAAAACCTGCTAAATTTAGCCTCATCACTCGCTTCGCTGGCCTGGAGTTACCAAGCCACGATTTGTTGCTCTCCATCTTTCATTACCAAAACCAAAAAAAAATCACATTGTTCAGAACTGGATGGATTTAGTGTTAAACCCCAAAACGTAGTTACAGCTTCACAGCGTCACCAAAAGCTTCCCCCGCCAGACAACCGTTATCTTCCTTCATTAAAGAATTTAAATAAATTGATTTATTTCCAAGCCCTGGGCAACACCCACAGCCTGTAATTATAGAAAACTTGGAAGCAATTTTGTATGTAAACAAACTCGTAACCTAACGAGCAACGTGCACTGCGTCGTGCCGTGCCACCCTCCAGCCCAGAGCCACCGTTCCTGGGGGCTGCCAACGCCTCCAGAGGCAAAAGCAAGGGACAAACTTCAATTTAGCCAGCGCCTCCTTTCTGGAGGGCATTAAGCAGGGTAGGAATTAAAAAAAGGAGGTTATGGTTTTTTTAAAAAATACAAGCAAGCTGGGTTCCAACAGTCACAGGCAGGAAGGGGACTTAACAGCAGAGCCGTGCCCCTCTGGAGAGCTCACAGCTGGCCCGGCCCGCTGACAGCCTGGTCCTGCTCACAGCGGGCCTCGAGCAGGAATAAACCCTCGTCAGCACTTACCGGAGCTTCAAAAACGAGCATTTACCTCAAGTCCCGGCTGATCCTGGTCTTGCTCCTCCTGTACGTACAAACAAAAGAGACCTCAGAGCTGAAGGGAGCAGCTTTTTTCTCCCCCAGCCCCCGGAGAAAATAAACTCTTTTATCAGCAGCACGCGGAAAGCCACGCTCTCACCGCGAAGAGGATTTAACTTATTTCGAAGCAAAGGTAAGAGCAGCACTTATGTGGGGAGGGGGAGGGAGATTTCGTTCAAAACTCCTCCAATTTGCTTGGCACACACCAAGGTGGGAGGAGAGGGACAGGCTGTGCTGCAGTGAGACTCACACCGCCAGGTCTGGAGCGCGCTCCGTTACAGGTCAGCTGCGCCCAGCGGGAGGTATGGACCTTACCGGAGCCTCGGCAGCCTGGCGAGGCTCGGTGCTCCTCCGAGCCCTCGTTCTGGCCGGGCTGGGAACGCAGCCTGTGCCCACATTGCTGCTTTGGGGAACCTACGGAGTCCCGGAGTCGGGGCATTAGGCACCGTGTTCTCCGCAGCACCCCCAAAGCGGCTCAGCCTCCCCGGCCCAACAGAGCTACGCGGTGCCAAAGGGTCACAAGCAGAGGGTGAGCAGGGAGGGAGGCGGGGAGGGGCGAGGCGAGCGTGCTGCTCACCTTCTCCTCCTGCTGCTCCTCCAGGGCTGGCTCCTGCGACTCGTGCAGCAGGACTCCCGCTGGGAGCGTCTCCTTGCCCCCTCCAGCACCACGACGCACGGCCTTGGGTTTCTGCTGTTGCTTCTTCGCTGGCTCTTCTTTCGTCTTCCCCTTCTTCCCTTTTCTCCCTTTCTCCTCCTTGTTCGACCCTGCAGACTGCGGTGGCGCACAGAGGCGTGTCAGAGCCAGCGACCCAAGCGACGGTGCCGCAGGGGAAGGCAGAATTCCTCTCGCTCACCCCCAGCAGCTTCATGATGAGCTCCCGGTCCTCCTCGTCCTGGTCCTTGTACTTCTCCTTCATCTTCTTCATTTTACTCTGCGGAAGAAAACACACCAACACCCTCAGAAACGACGACTTCTGTGGAGTTTTGCAGCCACAGACAAACACCTAGAGGCTGACACCACGTGCAATCTCCTCTTTCAGAGCAGCCCACCACGAGGCGGTGGTTTTGGCGAGGCGAGCGCAGCGTGCTCAACGCTAACAGACCAGCCCCATCATCCTGAACCCACCCAGAGTATTAAAACTATCGGGCACCCACAGACACCTGACAGAAATCCGGTATTCACAGGGCAACTCGCAGGTAAACCTGGTCCCTGCCCACCTTCTGGCCCCGCTTGATGGGCTGAGGGGCCTGCACACCCTTATTGGTGTTGGGAGCAGGGGGAGGCTGTGTTTCCGCCTCTTTCTGCTTCTCTTCAGGTGGCTCCAAGTCCTCAGAGTCGTTTTGCTCATTCTTTTTCTTCACT